CGTGGGTTTTTGCCACTTCACTGGAGGATAAAGAACAAAGTCGGGCTTAAGGTCCACACTCTTCTGTAAAAGCTGAACGATAAGTACGCCTCTTTTTAAACTTCCTGCTCATCCAAGGGGACGGAGTACTGAGATCAACAAAAGAGGAGATTTGAATGGAAAATATGATATATTTCGTTGATCATGCGACCGTTTGTGTGAATATCAGTTGCTTTGGCATTTATCTTGCTCTTGCACATGTGGTTGGCCTTCGGATTAAGTCAAGGACCAGTTATTTCATCTTCTCCCAAAATGCACGCGTTCAGCTTAACGTGTCTTCTATCCGACTAGTTCTCAAAATTTTCTATCCATTTTTCACGGAGTGGAAAATTGGCGATGCAAAGAAGACGCAGGTATTTCGGGTGCATGTATTCCAAGTTGAGGGTTAAGAATAGTGTCTGGGTTTGGCTCTACCCTATTCCTTTGTCTCACAGGCAAGCTATTATATACTGAGTCGACTTTAATTTGGACTCTGAGTTAGTTTTGAATTGGAGTTCTTCCTACTGCATCCGCGCAACATGTCGAGTTTGCATCCACTGCCACCAGTGTAGCGTCCCGAGACCTTCTGGCCGTTATACGAATTCAGTAAGTGCAACTGGATACATGTACTCCGGAGATGACAGAACAAATAGACCTATGTCTCCAAAGGTTAACACTATTTGTTTATATTATCCACCAACAATTGTTATTTGGCAATAACGAAACCAAAATGCGTGTGTCAGCGCATTCGGAAATGGTTTTGCCGAATCGTGATGAATCTGTTAGTGAGGTGACAATTCTTGATAACTATATGGGGCAACCTTATTCAAAATATGAATTCTTGGGGAAAAAGTTGGGTTACCGCATAATGTTGTACCCAAGAGAGCACACTTTTTTCCTATTGGTCAAATCAGCCTTCTTCCCAGAAGGATACCCCGAATCGGTTAGCAAGGATTATTTTGAATACCAAGTCTGGGATACGGTGCAGGTGCGTTTACTACGTTTTCAATTCTTTTGACGACGTTGGGCTTTGTGTATCTTATCTTGCTGCTTAAATTCTTTAGGCAATTTCTAGTAGCATAATAGGTGCCTTGGCTGGTCAGGCTATTTTAGTCGGTGTTGGCGTTGGAGATGGTAATGCTAGCGTCCTTGCTGCATCTCTTACATGGATATTTAAAGGTGCCTCATGCATTGCTTTACCATTTTTTAATGCATACTATTGTGCTTGGAACTCTCTGTAATGGTCTGATAATTCGCCTGATCTTTTGAAAATCACATCAGTAATTTGGTATCAAAGCGTTTCGTAGCCTCACTGCTCG